TCACAAAGTTTTAAAGTAAGAACCCCATTCCTATCCAACTGTCGAATCTCTTTCATGAAAATGTATTCAATTTTTTTTTTTTTTTTGGTTGGAAAAGTTCCTTATTTGACCCTTGGGCTGTGAGGCTTTTGTGCGCAATGTTTTTGCATTTAAATGAAATTGAATAAACCGCTAATCCACTTCTGCGTCGCGGCGGGTGAGCACAAAGGTCGGCTCACCCAGCTCCTGCTGCGCGTCTGTGGCATGTCCTGGCAATTAATTTGCATGCGTAGTAATTTCACAATTTACACTGGAACAAAGCAGATGCCGGGATCAGGATGCTTTTCCCGTCGCCCTCATAGAAGTTGCTACAAATGTCTCAAATGCGTATGGGTTTAATGGAGCGCAACAACGAAATGGGTGGGGAGGAGGTTTTTCCAGCTCTCGCTCTGTCTTGCTGGATTTCCGTTTCTGGTAAGTTAATCAAAGTTGCTGTTGTCGAGCACTTGGCACTTGTGAACTAGCTTCACGTTCTCTCCCGTTTGCGCCGGGCAACTGTCCAAAAAAGCAGAAAAGCTGAAAAGCCAGAAGGGAAAACTGTGGAGGAGAACAGATCGCAGCCAGTGACTTGGCAAACTTTTCGCCTTTGTACGGGACAGAACAGCAGCAGAATGAGCCAGCAATCTTAAAGGGATATTTTTTCTATATGGAGAACACTTTTTAAACCAGTGAAAGGAGAACAGACCATCATTTCTTATCGTCAGCCATAAAAAACATAAACAAAGAGAATACTCCACAAAGAAAATGTTCGTTGATTTATGTGCAATCCAAAAATTGATTGGCCATAGATTTCGAAAAAATATTGTACATACTCGTATGTACATAAGTACAAAAATATGTATAAAGTATGAAGATAAATCTGTTGATTTAATTGGTTATAAACCCAGTGAAAGAGTGGATGTTTGATGGGTGTAGCCCGAATAAATGCACGACCCTGAAAGCTAAAAACACAAAAACCAAATGCAACGAAGAGAGAGGCGGCTGCAGCGTTAAATAAACCGCAGGAAGGGTAGGGAGAGAGGCAGTAAAATATGAAATGCCATAAAGAAAATACTATACGAAACAAGAATGGATGGAGCCCAGACAGTAGCACCAGCAGCCACAAAAGTAACATAATTTTCTGCTTGAAATGCCAAAGCGGTTTCCAAATTGTGGCACACGGAAAGAGAGAGAGAGAGAGAGGAAGAGCGAATAAGGGGCAACAAAATAAATGAAAGAGGCAGGGCCGTGATTTATATGCAACATTCGCCGCAAAGTGTGCAACGAAAGGAGTTTCGAGTGGAGTGAAAATTCATTCGAGAACGGGCAAAAAGTTTTGCTCCACCTGAGCATGAGCGTGTGCCCGGAGTTGTGTGGAAAGTTTTAAGCCCCTTGCCACAACATTAAGGTGAGATGTATGCGCCACAAGGCATACAGCATTTTGTAGACGACACCCGATTGGCTAGCCAAGGCTCGGTCGAGTCCAGGACGTGGACGAAACAGAACGGAACGGACCCCAAATAGGTAGAGCTTGTCACGCACGACGGTTTCTGTGGTCGCCCGTACACGCCCGGCTACTCCCATCACAGACAGGATAGGAATACGCATACACTGATACCCACACAGCCACATGCAGAACATGGAAGGACGTCAATCAATTATGGGTTGATGGGTTGGTGGAATCGGGACAGGATGAGGTCGGTAAGGGGTATCTTTGTGTTGGTTTTGGGCTCCATTTCGTCGTTACGTCGCCTGCAACAAATCGCCGTAATGTGCGGTGTTTGCTGCACTTAACGAGTACATTCTACAGTTTTCGCCCCTGCCTCCTTTCCCGGCCCCCTGTCCGTGTCCATTGGGTCCGCTTTTGCGGCCCCAATTTGCGGTAGGACGGGTGCAATTGAAGGCCCATCAATCATGGATCGCTCGTCGATATGCCTCTCAAAATATAATTGACTTGATTTTTCGAAAAATTTCAACAACTGTCCAAGGCAGTATCTGGCTACTCTCGCCCTCCATCTATCGCATGTCCTGTGTGTTTCGCTGACTTATTTCTGTCTAATTTTCCTCGATTTGTGTCCTGATTAAGTGACGAAATGTTTGATGTTTCGTGAAATTGAGTTAATGGCAGCCCTTCAACCACACAAAATAAAACCGTTAAACACATGACATCAAAATTGGTTTCATTTAGCTTTTATCCCCAAAAGCTCCATTTATACCGCACACAAATGCCACACCCACTTTCTGATGCCAATTTAGAGCGACATATTTTTGTGTGCAATAATCAAAAGTTTAATTTATTGCAGCCGGTTGGGGGAGGAGAGCATTCTAATTGGATTCGGAATTGGAATTCGAACGGGTTTTGAGGTTTTTAGTGTCATAAATGGAAATAATATTAGATTTGGGTTTTGCGTTACCCGTCACAAAGCAAAACGAGAAACGAGATGATTATTTTATTGGAATTCCCATTTGCAACAAGAGGTGCACCTGATTTGAAATGAATTATCCTTGATTTTTTGTTAAATATTCAGTCATTGAATACATGATTAATAGAGTGTATTTTCGATTGGAACTGAGGTATAGTTTTAGATTAGATTGTGCAGCTTCGGGCTCTTTTTATTTGTTCTATGCAAGTTTTTAGTTATTTTAATCGTAATATTTCGCCACTTTTATTTGCCAAACGATTTGCTGTCTGCAGCCCTAGCTGTTTCTCCAGCATCTCTAAGGCAAGGCATTCTCCAGCAGATTTGTAATTAACACCTTCAAAAAAGACGCAAAGTTGACATGACTCATTAGCGATGAAAGACTCGCACAGAGGCTTTGAAAGAGAGAGAGAGAGAATAGACTCTGTCTGATGCGAATAGAAAGAGATCCCCAGAGAGAGTGGCAGAGTTGACAGAGTGAAGTGGCTAGGGGAGTTGTACTGAAAATGGGTGTGAATTGGGTAGCGGGGTAGAGACGGCGGTAACCGACTCTAAAATCTGGTGTTAAATTATTTATGAATGCCGTTGCCGGCGGCCAGCAACTCACACAATTTGGATCCCATTTCGAGGCACATTAAGTCACAGATGGAGAGCCAACACCAGCAATAGAGAGATAGAGAGAGAGAAGGGAGGAGAGAGAGTGAGTGAGAGAGAGAGAGAGTGAAAGCGGCGACACAGAGTGCCATGCCAACTAATTATTCATAATTAGCTGCTGACTAAATGTTTAACTAAATCAGAGGATGTCTCTTCGTTGGTCTCGCCATAGTCTCCATTTATCTCTCTCTCTCTCTCTCTCTCTGTCTCTCTTGCTCGTGCTCTGCTCTGGAAAGTATTTATTTAAAAAATTACATTGAAAACGGAATCCGAGGAGGCGAGAGTAGAGAGTGAGCGATAGATAAATGTGTGCCTTTGGGTCGAAAGCTAAATTAAAAGTTGGCCATTAGAGAGGGAGCCAGAAGTAGGGGCAGATCCAAAGCCAGAGGACGGAGGGAGGCACAGCATTAATTGTGATTTATGTGAAAGGTTTCCGGCTCTCATTCTGAATAAAACATTGCACAAGTAGGACTTGCAGGTCAGGACTTTGCTCCAAGTAAATGGGGCAGTACCTGTATGATAGATGAATACTGAATTTTTTTTGCAGACATAAAGTGGGAGTGCAATGTGAGCTGATAGACGTTTAAGTTTCTGCGGAAACTTTACCAAAAAGTGAATCTTTAATATTGCTTCGCAGTAAAGAGAATTCCAAGAGCATTTTTAAATGTATTTCCCACGAATTTTTAAATTTTCAAAGAAAAGGAGGTAGCATTTGACTGAATGAAGTGAACACTAACTTACGTTGAAATTAAACTTATTTGCCATAAAAGTAGCTTGATTATAAAAAGTTAATCTATAATTTAAAAAGAAGACTTTGCATCATTGGTCTTACGTTTGCAACTTGTAGAGATTACTAAGAGAGACTAGAACAAGTAGCAACGGAAATGAATGCTGAAAGTTTTAAGAGGAAATTGAAACTGTGAAGAAGACTTCTCCCCTGCCACTTCCACCTCCACTTCCAGCCTTTTAAGCTGCAGGCAAAGCCTCGAGTAAAGTTCCCAAAAAAAACTGGAACACGAAAGTTCTTCTGATCGGAAGACAAAGAAGTTTTAAAATAACACTGGGAATGCATTAATGTTTCTTCCTTAGAACTTCCCCAAAGGGCTCCTTTCTGTAAATTGATAATGAAAGAGGAGTTTTCCTGCTGAATGAAAGGGAAGGGACAACATTCAGCATAAATTGCCGGGATAGGAATTTTCTCATTCGGCAAAAACCAATTTACCGACGGCTCTTGCTCTTTCTCTCTGCTGCTGTTCTCTCTCTCCCTTCTTTCAATTTCTCTCTGTGTTACTGGGATGCTGGTTATAAACCATTCACAATTTGCTTCCTGGGTAATTTCTTGTAGCAAAATGAGAATTTTACTAGACGCTTTTCCTCTTGTTACAGGGCAAGAGAAGGACAGAGAATGAGGGGGAAAAGCCAAACGAACGGAGCCGCATGTCTAGTCGCTGTCTACACAAACAATCACGCACACACACAGGGACGGAAGCATGCACACACACACACACACACAGATACTGTGGGGGCTTAGGAGTGTATGTGTGGAAGTGACTCCAGGAGACTCTTTTTCGAAGAGGAAAAACAAAAGACCAACCACGGTGCAGCAGCAAAACAACCGAAAACAACTTCATATTTATGTAAATATTTAGCAAACAGGCAAAATGTGGACAGAGTGGCAGAGAGGCACACTCTTCTTGTACCTGAGGTGTGGGCTGTGTGAATATTTAAGACACTTTTTGGGGATATACTTCATGAAAATAAGAACACATCAGCACATCAAAGACACAACACTGAATTACTTGCAGGTTGGAGCATTTCTCGTATTTTTCTGTATATATTTTTCACTTTCATTTCACTTTGCGCTAAATATATATTTTTGCATATTTAGTTAATAATTGTTTTACTCACTCTGCAATGGATTTAGACAACGGCCAGCGCTCCATGGAGGCCTGATATTTCATATTCTCGATTTGCTTCTTTAATGCGTCCCGATCCATGTTTTGTAGAGCACTGGGATCCATGGCGGCTGAAATTTATCCACATGCCACCCCTGCAAAGAAACAAAGCAGCCGTGAGAGAGCGCCAGAGAGCGGTGCACACGTGCGTGTGAGCGCGGGAGAGTAAGCGCTGCGGGTGTGTTGGTGAAAGCTGCACCACTTGCCCTACCACTCGCATTCGCTCGCTCTCCCGCTCTCCGCTTGTTTTGTGCTAATTTGTTGAGTTGTCCATCAGGGTGCCTGCAAACTGCAAAATACTCCACCCTGTATGTCCCGGTCTATGCTTTTCCGCACTTTGCAGCCTGCGGAGCGAGAGAGGCGACTGCGCAGAGCATGCATAACAAATCAATACAAAGAGAGTGGGAGAGAGCGAGCGCGAAAGGGAGCTAACAGTGCCGCCTAAAAGGCTGCCATAAACTCTGTTGACACGCTGCCCCATCCCAACCACCTACAAAAGGGTGGAAAAGCTATTTGTTGACAGCGGTGTCTGGCTTTGGCTCTGGCTCCTGCTCTCAAACCGAAAAAATATGAAAAATAAGGCTTAATAAAAAGGGCGCGTCCCCGTGGCTAACAAATGCGAGTCCCAAAATTTAAATGGATAACCGGAAAAACTAAAACAGCTGATAAAAGGCAATATCGCGCTTTCTTTTTCTACCATTTACCTCTCTCTCTCTCTCACTTTCGATTGCTATTCATCTCTTCCATCCCCTTTTACAACCGGCTTATGTGCTGTAATTTATTAAATTTCCTTCACATTTTTAAAGTTGTTTCTTTGCTGAATAAATATTCGCCGAAAAAAATGGAGAGTCGTGAAACGGACAAAGGAGCATTTTGCGTGTCCTCCGACAATTATTTTCCTGCTGTTTACACTTTGGTCCAACATTAAGGCACCTTTTCGGGGGTAAAGAAAAGATGGAGATAAAGGGGATTCCTTGGGAGACTATAAGATGATAAATTAATACAGAAAACAAATGACGTGAAAAATATTTACAAGATTAACAACATAGAAGGGTACATTTTAATATAATCTGTATCAAAACAGTTGGGATTAGAGTTTAATCTTTGAAATTGTGAACAAATTCAAAAATGTTGCATGATTCTCGAAACTCTTTGAATTCCCTTTGGGTATTGGAATAATCACACCACGAATTCCACTGTTAACAATTAACAGCGTAATATTAGACCTCGAGCTCTGTAAACTAAACAACAGAACACACGATATGTACCTCTAACATTCCCTCAACATCGCATAGCAAAGACACCAACCACCATGCATAATGTTAACACTGCTGAACTCTGCTCACTTATCGCATGCTATAAAATAACAGCGCAAGCGAAAAGTGTACATTCTCGTAGCAAATGATTCTAGTTTCAGACATTTGAAATTTTTTTGAGGTTCCCCTAAATACGATACTATGGGACATTCTCCTAAAAAGCTAATCGCACAACGCAACTCATCGAGAGACAATCAAAAACTAATACAAAACTCAAATAAAAAGCCGCAAAAATAAAGTGGCTTACAGGAAAGGAACACATTAGCAGCAGCTGCCGGAGTAGGGGAAGGGACAAGGGGCAGGACATTCAAAGGAGGGTCTTGACATGGGGCATCCACAAATGGGCGGATTGGAAGACTGAAACCCAGCGAAGCGACTTGGGACAGAAACACACGACACGACACCCCACAGATGGAGGAGGGAGAAGCAGCCAGGGAGCTGGAAACTGATGCACAGCTGACGCTTTTGTAGGTGTAACTTTAAATACGAAAAAAGGACCCCCAGACCCGAAGGCAGCCCCCGTTATCCCTGCTCTGCTCTGATCCTTAGAACACAGAGTCGAGTCCTGTCCAGTTTGATACATCATTTTTTGTCGTATCGCTGGATAACTTTGACACAGGTTCTCTGTGTCCATTGTCCCTCTCTTTGCCCCCTGTTCGGTAGATTGTTTGCATCTCCAACTCCACCCCTGCACCGATCTGTGTCCCTCCCTTTTTTCACAGCTGTCAGGATGCTAAAGGATTTTAGGCTTTAACCCAGTCTGCTGCCTCAACGAAAAGTTGCTCCTTCATAGCCCGCCTGCGGCCTCCTCCTGCACTCTGTCCCTCTGTCCGTCTGTGTTTGTGAGTGTTTTTAGAGAAGCTTTAAGCTCCAGGACTCGAGTGGAGTCGAGTGTAAGGGGTGACACTGTTGGCCAAATGTGTTAATGGCAAAAATTGTTGTAAAACAGCCCAGATTTAATACGAAAGCGCCACCAAGAGAGAGTGCCGGAAAGCGTGTGTAGAGCATGTGTATGCTCTGCTCTGTCCACTGTGTCCTGTATCCAGTGTTATTCTGGCCGGCATGTCCTTTGCATATGTTGACAGCGCTGACCAGCAGCAGTAAAAGCTTTACAGTTGGTTTAATTAAAACTTTTAGAAGTTGTCGTAGCAGAAAAAAAATGATTCGAAAAGACAGGAGGCAGGAGACAGGAATGTGCCACAAATATGAGCGTAGCGAAGAGAACTCTCCAGGCAAAGCTGTGCATGAAATCCCCCTCTTCGATATTAGTTTCAGTGTCCACTTTTGAGGTGGGAGAACACTCTTCATACTCTCCACCCCTCAACCACAGATAGGAGGAGGGTTTGTGCGGCGGAGTGGCAAAGATATTGATAGACAGCATTCCCCTTTCATCATTAGTTCCAATATCCACTTAACGTGGTTGCGAGTCCTCTCAACAAATGCCAAAGGATGCCCACATCCCCATATCCCCTCTCCAAGCTCTGGCCACTTGGTGCAGCATCCACTAATCCCCGACATCATCGTTTCCACTTAGACTGCAGCCGCGACGGGGCAGCGGACAGCGGACAGGGGGAAGACCACGTTTAACCTCGATGGCAAATCTTGAACGTAAAACTAAACTAATTGCTTGGAGCCATTGCCGCCGAGTAGCGCTGTCTCCATCGACTAGACCTGCTCCTTCACCTTTCCCTCCTGTGCTGAAACCCAATATGATGGCAATGCGCCATTAAGCGATGTGCCACGATGCACCAGAAACAGAAGTCCACATCCGAGACTCTGTTCGACTGAAAAAGTAGCAGGAATTTATCTGCCAGAACACGAAGAAGGAGGGCGAGTAGGGAGAGAGAAGCTAGCATGTAACGGACATAAATCGTTAGCAAAATGTTTTTGGCGGTTACAAGCGACAGCCACAAACCCAAAGAATCCGCAACTGCTCCTCCGCCTGTCCTTCGCTCAAGTGTTTCGCGTGTGTGTCAACAGGCGTTCAAGTTTTTTGACACTCTACCCAGATCCACAGCGACCCAGAGAAGTGCTCGCTCTGCCACCCACACAACCATCCTGTACCCATCCTGAACCCAGAATAAAGTCTCATAAAGTACAGGCGCTGCCCTGAAACCAACAGGGACAGCTACACCATGAGAAAAATGATTGTTTAATGATTATGCGGCTTAGGACATTTAAATGCATAGTTTTGTATAATATTAGATGCATTTTTTGGATTTCGATTCATAAATTAAGCTTCTATTCCAAACGTATCTTCATTTCTCCAAGTGTATGTATGACATTGTAAAGTGATTCCCTTTTTGTCCTATGCTGTCACTGCCACACTGATTGTTGTTGGAGTCTCTGTCTTTAACAAAAAAAAAAGAAAGGGAAAACTGCCTGGCTGCCAAAACAGTTACTCAATCTGAGATCTAGCGGCAGGAGCAGCAGCAGAGGACAGGGCACAGGACAACCCATAAGTATATATATTTATATGTAGTTATATCCTGGCAGCCATTTATGTACTCGTTAATAGATATCCGCAGGAGCAGCAGCAAATTGTTGCTCGCAATTTTTACAGCAATTTGGGCATTTCCCCTCTGTCATCCGCTGTCCTCTGTATACATTAGGATTCCCCACTCTCCTCTTGATATTGTTACAATAATTGGCATTAGCCGGAATGTCCTGCGGAGGAATGTCCTACTCCGCCTCCTGCCAGCCTTTGGGCTGCCTTTGGGTCGCTGGGTGCCAGACACGATTTTAGCTTGTTAGCTTAATTTTAAATGCGGAAACTTTGCGCTCAAACACGAAATACTTTGGGGCATATTTTCATTGTTGGCCGAGAAAAAACAAGTTGGCGTGAGGTGAGGAAAATTCTTTAGAATTTCACGGGAAAAATTCAGGAAATTCGTTAAGAAAAAAGTGTAACACGAAATTAGCATAAGAAAAGCGGTGGAGAAAGTCCTTTAATTGGACGACAGAAAGGAAGGTTTTCGCGTGGGCAAGGGTCACTATTTGCAGAGGTCATCAGTGGATTCGGGTTATGCTGATGTCTGCCCCCAGGGTTAAAAGTTAAATAGGACAACAACTAATCAAAATTCAAGCTCAATTGCTAATCACTTTAGACCGCTGCACACCCGCACGAAAAGGTCTCCCTGCTCTCCTCACTTGGCGTAATCAAATCGCAATCATCTGCAAACCATTCACATTTAATTATAAACCAAAAGTTGTGCCAAAAACTTTTGAACTCTAGCTCGTCACGTGCCAAAGAAGCAAGAGAGGAGTGCTCAGAGGAGAGAACTCAGCTGAGTACTCATAGTATTTCAAACAGAGAGGGAGCAGAACATAGAGCAGGACAAATATTTATCCAGTCATTAGCGACATTTCATTCGGTTACCTTTTTCGGCGGGCACAGACACAGACACTTGAGCGGCAGACCAAATCCCGAAACTAAAAGTACAACTAAAACTAAAACCACAACAAGATACGATGGGGGAGAAGCCCCCTCCCACATTGGGGCAGGGAAACTTTGTGCCGCGGACTAACAAGAACCGCAAACAAGCTGCCAGTTTGTAGCCAGTCGGCGTTGCCATTCGGCGATGAACGATGAAGTGCGTTTGAGGAAGACCAACCCGCACAATCCGCTAAATCAATTTGCAGAGTTAAATAATTAAAATTCAGTATGGCATGACGTTGGGGTTTTCGGTGGGTTTTCAATCAGTTTTCCGTCCTCTTCCATGCTATTCGCGGGCCAGATGTGGAGGTTAAACCTTATGGCTTATTAGCCGGGCTTAGAA